CTTTTTATGCTTTGGCATGATCGACTTGGTCACCCGGGGAGTACAATGATGCGTCGAATTATTGAAAATTCACATGGACACCCACTAAAGGATCAAAAAATCATCTTACCAAATAATCATCTATGCACCGCCTGCTCACAAGATAAGTTGATTATCAGACCATCCCCCTCAAAAGTCATTGTTGAGTCTCCCTCATTTTTACAACGAATTCACGTGAATATATGTGGGCCAATTCATCCACCCTGTAGACCATTTCGCTATTTTATGGTCTTAATTGATGCCTCAACACGATGGTCGCATGTTTGTCTGCTTTCTACCCGTAATGTTGCATTTGCTAGACTCCTTACTCAAATCATCAAATTACGGGCACACTTTCCTGATTACCCAATTAAGACAATCCGTCTTGATAATGCCGCTGAATTTTTTTCTCAAACTTTTGATGATTATTGCATGTCAGTTGGAATTAATGTTGAATACCCTGTTGCACACACTCATACTCAAAATAGTATGGCTGAATCTTTTATTAAAAGACTTCAGTTTATTGGTTGTTCTTTGCTTATGCGAATAAAATTACCTGTTCATGCCCGGGGTTATGCCATATTACATGCTGCATCATTAGTTCGTATACGACCAACTGCTTATCATAAGTACTCACCACTGCAACTTGTTTTTAGTCAACAACTAAATATCTCTCACATACGAGTTTTTGGTTGTGTTGTACATGTTCCAATTATACCACCCCAACGTACTAAAATGGGTCATCAACGTAAACTTGGAATTTATGTTGGTTTTGATTCTCCAACTATTAGTAGATATCTTGAACCCCTAACATGTGATGTCTTTAAAGCACGATTTGCTGACTGTCATTTTGATGAAACAGTTTTCCCACCATTAGGGGAAGAAAAGGCTCAGTAGCAACGTGATCTTACTTGGAATGCCCTGGAATTGTCTTATTTTGATTCTCGCACAAATCAATGTGAACGAGAAATTCAGAGGATCATTCACTTGCAAAATGTTGCAAATCAATTGCCTGATGCATTTACTGATACAAAGGAAGTGATAAAATCACATATACCAGCTGCAAATATTCCAGTTCGAATTGCTGTCCCTGAGGGACCTTCTGTTAGTAATGCAGTAAATGCATCTAAAACACGCCTGAAGTGTGGCAGACCAGTCGGTGCAAAAGATACCGCTCCTCGTAAGAGGAAATCACAAAGAAAATAGCCTTTGATCAATCTGAGATAATAGTTTTTGATAAGACAGGGGCTCTTGATGAGTCTCAGGTACCTAAAAATGATGAAATAATAAATATTTATGAGACAAATGCAACATATGATGATATGGCTCTTGATGAGACACATGGCCTTGATGAGACACAGGTACCTGAAAATGATGATATCTCATTAAATTATGAAACGGGATGGAATAGAAATGAAATTGTTATCAACAACATATTCTCATATCTCGTTACTCTTGATATTGATAATGAGGATCCAGAACCTCAAAACATTGAAGAATGTCGACGAAGAAATGATTGGCCAAAATGGAAAGAAGTGATACAAGCAGAGCTAAATTCATTAGCTAAACGTGACGTATTTAAACCAGTAGTCCAGACACCTGAGGGTGTTAATCATGTTGAACAAATGGGTGTTTGTACGAAAGCATAATGAGAAAAATGAAATCGTGAGATACAAAGCCCGACTGGTAGCTCAAGGTTTCTCACAGAGACTTGGTATAGATTATGAGGAAACATACTCCCACGTGATAGATGCACCCACATTTGATTCATAATACATTTGGCAGTCAAAGAAAGATTGAATATGTATCTAACGGATGTGGTTATAATATATTTATATGGATCACTAGATAGTGATATTTATATGAAAATCTCAGAAGGATTTAAAATGCCTGAAACAAAACCACGTAATATGTACTCGATAAAATTACAGCGATCCTTATATGGTTTGAAGCAATCTGGACGAATGTGGTACAATTGCCTTAGCGATTACTTACTCAAAGAAGGGTATGTAAACAATCATATTTGTTCATGCATTTTTATTAACAAATCAGGCTCTGGTTTTGTTATTGTTGCAGTATATGTTGATGATCTGAATCTTCTGGGAACATTGGACGAGATCGAAAAGACGGCCACTTATTTAAAGAAAGAATTCGAAATGAAAGATCTCGGAAAGATAAAATTCTGCCTTGGGCTGCAGGTTGAACATTTTTCGAGCGGTATTCTCATCCATCAATCAACATATACAGAAAAGATTCTGAAACGTTTTCATATGGATAAAGCCTATCCATTGAGTTCCCCAATGGTTGTCCGATCACTTGACATTAAAAAAGATCCTTTTCGTCCTCGAGAGGATGATGAAGAACTCCTAGGTCCTGAAATGCCATATCTTAGTGCGATTGGTGCTCTTTTATATCTTGCAAATTGCACAAGACCTGACATAATTTTTCCAGTCAATTTACTAGCACGGTACAGTTCTACACCAACTCGCAGACATTGGAATGGAATCAAACACATATTGCGATATCTTCGTGGCACAACTGATATGGGATTGTTTTATTCAAAAGCATCAAGTTCTCAATTAGTTGGATATGCAGATGCCGGCTATCTCTCTGACCCACATAAAGCTTATTCACAAACAGGATATGTGTTTACCTGTGGCGGTACTGCTATATCATGGCGATCTATGAAATAGACAATGATTGCAACTTCTTCAAATCATTCTGAGATACTTGCAATTCATGAGGCAAACAGGAAATGCATTTGGTTGAGGTCAATGATCCAACATATTCAAACAACATGTGGTCTTTCATTAATAAAAGATAGCCCAACAGTATTATATGAAGATAATGCGGCATGCATTGCATAGATGAAAGAAGGGTATATTAAAATTGACAAGACCAAGCATATCTCACCAAAATTCTTTTATGCACATGAACTCTAGAAAGGAAGTGATATTGATATTCAGAAGATACGTTCATGTGAAAATCTAGTAGATTTATTCACTAAAACGCTTCCAACTACAACATTCAAAAAGCTGGTGCACAACATTAGAATGCGTCAACTAAAGGATTTTCAGGGTTAAACTAATGAGGGGGAGCAATTGATAAAAAAGGTATTGACATGATGTACTCTTTTTCCTTCGTCTAGGTTTTGTCCCACTGGGTTTTCCTAGCAAGGTTTTAATGAGGCAATTTTAATCTATGCAATACCATTTTCAAATACACAAAAATACTGTACTCTTTTTTTTTCGCTAGGGTTTTGTCCCACTGAGTTTTCCTTAGTAAGGTTTTAACGAGACATATTTTTAGTGTAATTTTATGGACCACAAAGGGGAGTGTTATGTATATATCTATCAATGTGTGGGGTCCACGAATTCCTAAAGACATCAATGAAGATTTTCCTATTGGCGTATGGAGTAAGATTGCTTTATTGGCTTACAATAGAGCCTCAGTATATGCCTATAAATAGGCTTCATATGTATGAAATGAAAGTGCGAAATGAAATTCTCTCTCGGTGCGAAATAAAATTCTCTCTCTGTTATACTCGTTCTCTCTCTCTCTCTCTCTTTCTCTTTCTCTTTCGTTTCTCTCTCTCTATATCTCTCTTTGTGCAAGTTATAATACATATTACACTATATATACACACACACACATCTATTTATTACATTAAATAAATTCAAAATTTTCGGTGATCCCAACATAGTTATCATTGACTGAATTTCACCTCACCACCGTATGTCATAATAACATCATTGAGTGCATTTCACCACCACTCACAAAAACTGAATTCAATTCTTCTTACCTTTTAAGAGCTACAATCTTTTAGATGTTTAATGTTAGCGTTCCACAAATAAAAATAATGCAGTGGAAAAGAGAAATGCCTGTTACAAATCTTCCCAAAAAAAAAAAAAAAAAATCTTGTTACAAATTGAATTTGCAATTGTAAAGATTGAATATTCCATTTTATGACAAGTAAAATAAAATTAAAATTACTTACACAAAAAAAAAATTAAAAAAAAAATTGATTTTTTTTTTGGTAAATAAATAAAATGAAATTCTGACGACAGTTGTATTTTACCCAAGGAAGGGAGTCCCTTCTTTATTCTTTAAGAAAGCCAACTGTAATCAACATTGCTATAGGATTCTCACTTTGGTTTCATCTATCTGTATATTTATATGATTTTCTCATTGTCACTGGCCTATCTATACGTTCACATTACATTTACGATGACATAAATGTATCAAAGATTAGCGGCCTAACACCATCAAGAATTTTGATGTAGTGATATCTTTTATATTTTTTCTCAATAAAAGGTGGAGAGTTTAAATTTCGTAATAGGTAATTATGAAATTATCATGAAAAAGGAAGGTGCGAAGGCTTGAAGTCAGGCTTCAAGGACAATGGGAAGCAACCTACTGTTTGGGTTACGAAGACGTTCACTTTGAAAGAACATAATTGGATCACTAAATTTTTTTTCAAATCTTAAGTATAGATGCTGGAAGTGCTTCGATCACATTTGTTAAGCAAATCCTTACCAGCTTAAACTTTGGGACAAATGATTGTCTAACAAGGTAATAGAGTCTTGGTTGAGAAGTCTTATCCTATTACAGTAATTTGCTTGCACTCACTAAAGTGGTAAAAGCTAAACTAATTGCATCAATAACTTGTTCACCTTTGTTACCTACTAAAAGGAAAACCTAAATTGCCAAATTCAGAGGTTCACATCCACTCCTAAATTTAACATACGAGGAGAATTGTATATTTGACTCCTAATGATAAATAACAGAAAAGAGTTACAAAATTCAATTTCATTATATAGAGCACAAATCATACACTAATTTCATTTTTTGAGCAATTGATAAACCAATTTTATTGGGAGATACCAACAGGCCAGTAGCTTAGCAGTACCAAATCCCCTACTTCTCAAAGAGAGATCAGGGGTTCGAGCCTCCGTGGAGGCATGTGTGTGTGAGTACCCAACTAAGAAAAAAAATTTTTTTATTGGGAGATGAACTATATACAGGACAAATTCAAAAAAAAGTTTTTCTATATGATCCATTCCCGCGTAAATGGAATAAAAAATCTTCATGAGGGACAATCAGAAATAAGAAGACTGTTCATGAAGCACATTCAGATGAGCTAGTACCTTGGCAGCCAGAGATTTCATACCACTACTTCCTCTCTGAGTAATTTCAATCAATGGCATCTGGGCTGATGTCCCATATTTTTGTTTGAATTCAACCATTCGGAAGATCCTTTCCAAGGCATTCAGAACTTTCTCCTGCAACGCGCCACAAGACGTGCTCAGTAATTTTATGATTGGAGGAATGGCATTGGCTTCTTCGAGAACCTTACTACCACGCTGCAGTTTTTCGCCATCAATCAATGTCAATAGTGCATCTAAAGAAGCTTCACAAGCACCAATATCCGGCTCTCCAAGCACACCGACTAGGGGTTTGACAGCATTAGCCTCCAAAAGGCAAAAAGATGACTCAGGAGTACAAACGCCCAAGTGTACGGGGCAACCAGTTTCAGGTGATGCCAAGCAACACCCCAAAATTCCACGCTTCTTTACTGGCCTGCTCAAATCAGTGGAACTCTCTGAAAACTGCTTAAGTGAAATGGCTACGTTTCGTTTTGTTAAGGGAGTACCGGAAACAAGCAGCTGTACCAGCGCGCTGATAATGCCAGCTTCAGCTACTTTCTTCTGCAATTCCTGATTTGTTGCAAGAGTGAATCGTGTAAGAGCTCCAGCAGCATTTTCTGTAACCTCCCTTTTGTATCCATTAGTGAGACTGGCAAAAATTACTTGAAGTACCCCAGCATCGAGAAGCAACTGAGTCATCTGAGCATCTTGAGGAAGGTTAGAGAGAACACCCATCGCAGCAACAGTCTCTTCTACATTATCAGAAGTTTTGATGATCCTTAGCACGGTCTCGATACACCTCTGTCCCACATGCCCCAAAAGGGTGCTGTCATCACCATCTATAGTCAAGCAACAGAACAGCTTCATGGCATTTGCCCGAATGCTATGGTTGTCGAGTTCACATAGTTGAACTAATACTGGGACAGCAGAGAGCTGGAGAATACAATAAAGATTAGAATTCCCATAAAAAATAGCAGCTAGATGTTGTTTTCAATAAATTCATGTGAATTATATAAAAAAGATGGACAAAATATATTTAGAAAAAAAAGAAAAGAAAAAAAAAAAAAAAGAGGTACAAAATTATGAACGTAACAAGAGAGGTCAAATATTTTGATCTAGAGGGTTTCTCAATTCCAGGAGTAAAACGTAGACAGCCGAAAAGGAGGGGAAGTTAGATTAAACTATACTAAATAGTGCTTTTGTGATAGTTGGCTTCAGGATTTTGATTAAAATGGGCTCTGTTTCGTGATAGGATCTTGTGAGCTCTTACAATAATTTACATAACTGGAACAACGATATTCCCAAGGCATTTAATATTATAGATATATACTACAGTTCACTACTGACAAAGAATGGGCCGTAACAATGCACCTTATCTCTATTTTCACCACATAAGGAAAAACTGAGATGTCTCTAAGAAAATGAGAAGAGTTTCATGAAGGAATAAGTTCCATAATACCAGTAATGAACTTCTAAAATGTTTTTTTTTCTTGTGTGTGTGTCATTGAAAAATGACACCCAAAATACAATGAACTCTAAAAGTGCATTTATATATTGATCTGAGTGCCATTGAAAAATGCAGCTCAAATTTTAATCAATGAGATAACCAAACTGCTAAGAAGGATGCATACCTGTCTTAATGTGGTCCTAATTTTTAAGCCAGAGGGAGATTGGCACATTGCATGGAAGGCCTGGAGAATGCTTTGTTGTACATCTGCTCCCGTCAATGAAATAAGAGAGAAGAGTTTAAAAATATCTTCCTCTGATGTCAACAATGAAACCTGCACATCTTCAGCTTCTTGGTGAGTGGTTGATATGGCAAGGTTCATAATTGTGGCTGCCACCTGTTCACGCAAACTTGGCAGTGCTAAGCTGTGACGGTAAAGAAGTTCAAACAGTGGGCTTAGTGCACCTTCTCTAATCATCTGCTGTCCATTTTGTGGTACATTAGATAGGTTTTGAAGAGCTTTGACAGCAACTTTCTTCATTTCTATATCCCCATGTGAAAGCATCTGAAGAAGTGGCCCTAGCGCCCCGTCTTTAAATAGAGACAGTTTATTGTGATCAGACAACTCAACTTCCGACAAAGTCTTGGCCATTACCATTTTAGTACTATCAGGTCCTGCATCAATGAGATGATATTTAGAAACTATAACCTACAAGTGACAATTGCAAATTTTCTTGATTTCAGTTTACGATCCAGCTGCTATAAGTTGCTGACATGAACATAACTTCAAACTCATAACTGCAATTATATTTAGACATAATAATAAATACACCACAATTTCAAATTCTTAAGGAACTCTGGTGCAAGTATGTTTATCAAATGTTACTTGTATTGTAAATACATTCTCCTAAACATATTCAGTCATGGATTGTTACCATATAAATGTTCTCAATGATTCTCAATGAAGTAAAACATTAATACATGCAGAAGACACTTACTAGGCAGACAATTATTAGCTGAAGTCATTTTCTCTCGCATAGATAACAATCTCTGAATCAACCATGCACTTCATAAGCCCTAGGAATCATGGATGCTGTCTACTCTAACTATATACAAGTAAACGATCTGAAATTTAGGAGCAACTAAGAAAAAATAATTTGCGGCAGAAAATCTCTGGGTTCTTACATTACATTTTGGGTAGAATTTTAGGCCTATTTTAAAAATGTAGCCTATAAATGATTACATATTGAATCTCTTATAATATTGGGAAAAAATGTCTTATAATATACTACACTTCTTGGTCAAATATAACTAAAGTAATTAATGTTGTAATATAAGTGAATCAGTTCCAATGTCTCATGCCTTATTCTAGGTGATGATGTTGTTTGGAAACACAATTTTAAAGCAATATCAGCATGGAACAGAGATTGCACATAAACCAGACAACATGTCGCCTGAAAACACAATTTAGGGTAGATATCAACATCAAAGAGAAGAAATATAAGAAACTCGGAAATTAGAACGGGCCAAGATCCACATGTTCATCATTTGCATGATATATCCAATGCAAAAAAGTGATGATACAGCTGCCTCTATATAAATTAATTAGCATAGGATTATGTCAGACTGAATTTGGTGATGTAGCTATGCCCACAATTAACCAAATATAGTAGTAGCAGGAAGATGAATATCGACAGTGGGGAAATGTTGTCAATATATAGTTTAGGGAAAGGGATTAGGTATCTTCTTTCAAGATAATTTTGTTGTAGATCACTTATTAAAAAAAGAAAAAAATGAAAAAGATAGTTTTGTTATACATCTGCCTATTATGACTAATGAGGCAGTGGAACTTTCATATCTGGTTCCCATCCGTAGGAGCCTGCCCCGTCTGTGAGCAAATCAAGAAATTATGTCCTTGCCAATTGAACAACATCATTTGCTGGAGGAAATATGATGGTAAATATTCCTGATGCTTCCACTATAGGCTTGAAATTGCTTCTGCCTATTCTTACTAGATGTGCTACTTTGAATAAAAATAATATCAACTAAGATTTGGTTATGCCCATTATGTGAGAGAGGAAAAGGCCGACTCATTTACTACTGTGTTGTCTTCTTCTTTTCATCCAAATGCAGTGCATCCAATTTATTTTCATTGACATCACCGCCATCATTGTTCTTGTTACATCATATCATTACAGCTGGCTTTTAGTTATTTTGTTTCTGCATGGTACATTTTGATCCAAAGAATACTTGCATGGATAACAATTTCAATGAAAAACTAATAAGAAAGGGCATCGATGACCTGCTCGAGAAATTTACAAGTGACAAAATAGTTCATTTAGAAGTCAAACTTCCAAAAGATTTAAAAATCACAGTTTCTATTAAACTAATAAAAGTAAGGACATCATTAGGGCTATAACTGATTATATATTCAGATGATAGTGTAATGCAATAACAATTCCTAGAGCATATTACGATACCACAATGTTTTCCATCTAAAAAAGGAAAATTGAAGTACCTGAAGAAAGAAAGCGCAACAAAGGTCCAAAATAATTTGCCCTTGCCATCTGTATAACATTTTGATCAATGATAGAGAGACTCTCCAAAAGCTCCTTTGCATCTTTCGCAGCTACTGTGTCATCGCTACTGGACATAGCTACAAGAAGAAGTATGCAGCCTTGAACACTCCCAATAGAGTTTCTCCCCACATTGCTTCTTGATAGTTCCAATAGCAATTGCAATGCGAACTTACTTTCCTCAACCTTACGTGCAAGCAACCGAACAATCAATTTAATGGCATTATTTACTTCAACAATTTTTTCCTGTCACCAAAAGAATTGATTTGTGATGAGATGTATTTAAAGAGGTGCAGCAGCCATGAGAGAGAGAGATTCTAAACAAAAGCCAACTACATGATTAGTCATCAGACAAGTTTATATGGATCAACTTGAAGATTGGAGTTTATCTTCACAGCCACATCAACTTAAAAGAGAGAGCATAATCAGGCAGGAAAATTTAGGAATACCTTGTTGTCACTGCCCTTGGCAAGGATACAGAGAAGGACCAGGACTTGCTTTCTTATTTCACAATCTTTCTCACCAAGAAGACCAATAAGAATTGGTAAGTAGTCCTCCATAATAACCCATTCGGAGTACAACTCCCTTTTCATGCATATATCCTGCAGCTTTCCTAGGGAATGAAGTACTTCTTGCTCATCATTTGACTGGATTTTCAGTTTCATGGAAGCAATTGTAATCATGATGTTCCTCTCATTCCATTCTTCAATCGACTGTCGTAGAGTTTTGTTGGATCTTAGAACTGAAGTGTTCAAGGGAGTCATGGTCAATGGACAGAGTTTGTTACCATCAGCTAACCACTTCTCTAATGCATCTCTCTCAAAAGTCCTCCCAGAGGGAGTTTCCACAGGATCCACCATGATATCACCAGTGATCGGGCAATAAAATGACTGCAGAGGTTCCAACGGCTGCCTACCCAAAGAACTAAGCTTATTAAAATATCTCATCTCTTTCTCCTCCGGAGTTTTAGTCACATCAGCCTTTTCAAACAATGCAATGATCTGTTCCATCTGTACAGTTTCTGATACATCTTTCCTCTGCTCAACATTCTCCATTTCGCTCATAAAAACTTCAAATTCCTTCTTTAATTCTGACTGTTCAGTTGGGATTCCAACAACCTCAGCAATATGAATGAGCAAATCATTCGCATAGGATCGATCAACATTCCTCTCCTGTATTCCTGACTCGATTTTCTCCATAATTTCATCCTCTCCTATGGCTGTTTTGTACTCAGCATCCATCATACTCATGCGTAGCTTGCTGATCTCATCATTTATACCTGATGAAACATCCAAAGAGGCCAAAGAGATGAGGCTTAAAGCCCTAATAATCTCTATTGTAGTGTCCTCTAATTGCCTAATGATTCTTCGGCAACTGAGCAAGAGATATATCTTACTTCTGCTGCAACATTCTAGAGCTAGTTCCTTGGCAACTTTAATCTCCGAGTTAAGAATGACAATAGCATTTTTTAAGCTCTCGGAATTGTTGATATCAAACTTGAAGAATTCTTTCAAAACAAGTGAAAGTCTCTCCAAGTAAGTTGAAAATTTCTTGAAATTCTCCTTCTGAACAAGGACTTCCTTGGCAGACACAGTTTCGAATATGGCCAGGACAGTCTGGGAGAGAATTTCTGATGCCGAAAGGGGTGAGGCACTAAAGATTACATCCTTTGCCATATCACTGAAGTTTAAGAGAAGATAAAAGTGAAGAACCACAACTCCAATTCAATCACATATCAAGCTATCAAATGAGGCCAAATCTTATGGATGGGCAAAAATTTTCTAATTCCGGGATCAATTTCAAAATTTTGACAGACCAGCCCTGCATTATATCCCAAGTACATGAACTTCATGAAAAAAATTACAAAGAAGCAATACAATAACAATTTTAAACAGATAGAACCAAAGAATAATTCTATGCAACAGCTGAAATTCCAGGACAATCATTTGCATTATCCGAGCATATATACAGTTGTTTATGAATTTAAAAAAAAAGGGAAAAATAGTAATAATCAATTCAACTAGTGGCAAATAATTTTGATTTTTCATATTGCAAACAATGAAACCTTAACATTCACAATTTCCATTCCCTTTACCTTCCATTTTATTTCCAAGAACACTAATGATCATAAAAATAAAGAGAGGAAAATCTGAAACTTGTGTTTTCTCATATTTGGGTTTTCAGAAATAATGCAAAACACTCATCAGGTAACCCAAAATATGGTCTTAGGTTTCACTCAAACAATGAAAATGAAAAAATGAAGAAAAAAGAAGAAGAAGAATAAAAAGCCTGATTTCTTCCATTTTCCTACATTTCTCTGCAACCAAACATACCTTAGAAAATCAAACATTAGAAATCAAAAGTCTATATGTGGTCACCTCCAATATATATATAATTATATATATATGGAAGAATCTTAAATGTTCAAACGAATTAACACTAAAATGTTGGCGTTCTTGCTCAAAGTAACACACTCATAAGCTGACCTGCTCAGTCGAATCCTCCGTTTGCGAAATTGTTTTCCCTGAGAAATTGGTTTTCCAGAGAATGACTAAACTTTCCGGGAAAATAATTTAGCAAACTTTGGTTCTAGAGCTACTTTTCTACGCGTCTTTCTTGCTCATAAGTCGAAGCCAAGTCAATTCTTTCTCTGGGCCAGAGCCCATAAAGTGACAGGAAATTATTTTTGTAGCCCGCCACTATTTTTATTTTCCACTGTCCTCTACTCCTCTTCCCGTCTCTAGCTTCTCTTCACTGACGTACTTTGAAATTTCTTCTATTTTCAATAAAATAATATATATATATATATGTATGTATGTATATATATGTATGTATATATAAGGTGGGTTTTGGTTCAATAGTAAGATTGGTACAATATAGAAACTGTATCAGCAAGAGAACGTTCATCTAATATTAACTCCGTTCCATAATAATTATCAATTTAAAAAATTTTGACTCACTATTATCTTTTATTTTTGAATTATTTAGTATTATTTTTAGTCATATTTCTTTAATATACTTATATACTATCTATATCCCCATAGTAGAGATCTATTTCAATAACTTTGACTCACAAAAATTGTGAATCAAAATTTTTGGAGTTGATAACTAATATGTGTGAGGTATATATATATTTTGGAAAGATTGTGAAAAATATATATTATGTAATTGGTAACTTACTGTGTCAAAATAAGTCGAGTTGTAATTCAAGTTACTATATCGGGATCGACAGAGACTGGGGAATTGGAAGGTTGTTCAAAGTTACCATTACTCGGATCATTTGAGAAAAAGGTAAGAACAACACTTTAGGAATGAATCTAAAAAAGTTAGGACACATTCCATACTTTCAGTGTATTTTTAGAAATTTCCAAAACAGGGTTTTACCAAGTTCAGCCTGAAAATTCAAGTTTGCTAGACTTGAATCGGTAACAAGTTCAAGGCCTTCAAGATTGGCTTTGAAATCATTCTGCCAATCTTGAACCGGTTCAGCACCATTGAACAGTTCAAGAAGTCCTGTTTAGGTTACAATTCTAGTTTCCTGTTTCTGACTCTTTCTTATTTGGTTTAGAACTGTACCAAGTCCTATACACAATTTTTTTTTTTTTTTTTTATATATATATATTTTCAGAGGATTAGGATATTCAAAACTCCATATAAACTTTGTCATACACATGGGTTTATTCACGACTTTTGCATAGAAAATTCAGATCCAATTGAGAGCTATCTTTGAGAGATATTTTTATTCAGAAAATCAATATGATTTTTCTGATTTTATTTTTGAAAGCATACACATAAATACAAGAGTGATTTATGAGTGTATCTCATCGGAATTGAAGCATAATCAAAGATTCCGGAAAAACAGAATTCATTTATTCTTCATCAAATTCAGATCTAGAAGAAAAGGGGTGAAACGATCACACTTTGAAGGGGTCAGAGCATTCGTGGAGTGTTATCTGATCTACATGTAACTCTTCTACAGAGATCGAGAGTAAGCCTGAGGTCGCGAGCTGTTGGACAAGGGAGTCGTAAAGCCAGAGATTGTTAGCAATTAGTTTTTGGTAGAACGATAAGAGCCAAAGTTCGGTATACTTTGCTTCAAATATAGTGGATTGTTTATCTCAGGACTGAAAAGTCCAACGAAGGTTTTTCTGTTACAATTGGTCTATTCTATCAATTATGGTTTCCTAGCTAAAATTCTGGTGTCATCGTTCAAACTTTATTTACTTTACTTGCACTTTATTTTTTGTTTGTACTTTGATTGTAGTTTTATTTTGGTAAAATTAAAAAAAGTAAAAATTGAATAAAATAGCAAGTTGAATATGTTTACCATTACTCTAAATTAACTATTTATATTATATTTCACAACCATTCTAGAGAGTCTTTTATCAATTACGGGGGCCTCTCCGTCAACTCTTATACATATATAGTACGATGTCATAATCAAAATGATTTTAACAACAAGGCATACTCTCAATTTTAAGTGTTTGGTCTAACATTTGCTGCATCAGTTGGCTATAACTTTGGAAGTAGTTGTTACGTGTACTCCGCCAATGAAGATTCTTCAATTTTATTTATTTATTTTTTTTAAAATTCCTCATTTTTCTATTGTTAAGAAATCTCCTCCACTGCTTAACGTGTAAATACTCAAGATATTTAATAGTTTCTGGTATAGTATAAAAAACAAGCACTTTGATATCAAATCAAGTCTGTCATTATTACATAGTCTGATTATTTAGGGCAAAGTGTAAAAAAAAAAAAATCCTGAATTATTTTTGAATTAGCAAATAATTCCCTTAAATTATATTTTATAAATAAAACTTTCTAAACTATCTCATTTTGTTGCAACAAACTCTAAAGATTATACTATATTTCATTAAATAACCATAATGCCCCTTTTTATTGAATTACATTTAATATATTTTTTTATCTAAATAAATTATGAAAAAATTCATACTAATTTGATGAGATATTTTTTATTAAATTTGCACTTTTTAAAATTAATTATTTAAATTATAAATTTTTTAAAACAATTAATTAATTTTTTATTTTTTAATGAATATATTACATGAAAAGAAGGTATTTTTTTCAAAAGTATTTTATTAATTTTTCATTAAAATATTGTATGAAAAAAAAATGATATTTTTTTACTATAAAAATTTTTAAATTGGTTATAATACGTTTTATTATAAATAATAAAATTTTAATAATAAATTAATCAATTTAGAAAATGACAGTTACAAATCTATTTATCTATTTTTTTTTTCAATTTTATGATAAATTGATACTAAAAATAAAATTAAGGTAACTAGTATAATTAATATTTACATAAGAGAAAAGATAATAAAAATAAATTAATAAGAAATGAATATTTTAATGAAAAAGAGTAAAATAGTTTTTTGTGATGAATTTGTCTTTTAACTGTAACAAATTAATAATTCGGGGGCGATTTTTAGTTCAAGGGTTATTTGTAAAAGAATAATAATTAATTTTTTTTTTGCACTTGACTCGATTATTTAATAATTGACAAAAAATAAAAATAAAAATAAAAACAAATAAATAAAATTGATACATTTACTTTATTGACTAGAAATTGGTGCCGAAACAATGTATCCCGCTAGTGCTGGGGAGAATTGTAACTCACTTTTGTGGAAATATGATAGCTCGCAAGAGTCATCAGTTCGGAATCAATGGTCAAATAAACGTAAACACGAGGGTAACAGTGAAAATGACATAAATGGACATTCAACTTTTTCCCTGGAAAATGGCGCGTGAATAACGGTTTTAATTTCAGGCTTGTTTGGACATGTGAATGAACTCGGCAGCATAATAATGAACCAGTATAATAGAGTTTTTAGGTTTAAATTTTTCCCAAGTTTGTCTATATAGTGTGTTTTATTTTATTTTTCCCGGTAAAGAAACAGACAGTCACGAGAACAAAGAGACGTGTTTTATTGATAAATACAACATCTTGTAGGGATTAGTTTTGACTCAAAATGGGTCGAGGAATTCTTGTTGAAATGTTTGCCATAGGCAATGAAATATGGTCCACAGTGGCCCCAAATTTCAATAATATATATAAAGACATTAATATAAGTCATTCACATCCACATTTTAGTATCAACTTTCTATTTGATTAGTAGTACTTAGCTGTACTTGGGCTCTTATGAGCCACTAATGGCAACTTTTCAATTATTTCTCTCTTTCTCTCTCTCTCTCTCTCTCTATATATATATATATTCTTTCAAAAAGTTAAAAATATTATTGTAAATTATCCAATAGAATATACTATACATCCATGTACAACTTCTGCCAAAACGTGTAGGGAAAGTTAGCCCCCCCCCCTTTTTTTTTTTTTTTCAACTGGTAATGATTAATTGTAGGCCATATATATGGGCTTAAAACTGCAACGAACTAAACATCGATCCCATTTAACATACCCACCACTAATTGGGCTAAGCCACAACCAAATAGGCTCATTTGGTTCTGCACACTCCAACATCCACTAGAATCTTCACCCAGGCCCATTCTGTCTTTCCCATCTTGGGTAACACGCAAAGAAAGCCTAACAATTATGAGGTCAGATGACAGGACAACAGTCACAAGAAAGTGGGTCTGACTAAAAACAAAGCCCATAGGCACCAGTAATACTATTGCCTGTGCATCTCCTAAATGGTTTGGTGGATGCAAGATTAGACACCCATAAGGTCAACTGCTCCAATATATGCTATATAAGCACAAAGGTGTGTCTTAAAAAAAAAAAAAAAAAAAAGTTTTGTTTGGTTAGGTGAAAACAGTTAGAAAAGAAAGAAAAAATAAAATTTTTAATTTATTTTAGAGTTTGAATAGATAAAAAGAGAAAACTAATAGAAAATTTAATTTCCCTTATTGAGTATTTTCTCGTGAAAGAAGTGCTTATTTATTTGCAGTTCTTATTTTATCGAGTAACTTAATTGTGCAAAGTTTCTCCAAAACAATTTATATTATGATGTAAATTTCTATTCTGAGGTAAGTTCGCAGGCAAATTATACAATTATATATACATGATATCAATGATAAAAAATTTTTATTTATTTATTTATTTATTTTTTATCGTCTGTTGTATCACTTGTATGTTGCAATTCTAGCCACTCATAAGGAAATATTATGAAGCCTTATTCTAAATATAAATAACAAAAATGAATATAAACAATTATATATTTAAATTTAATAATTCATCATTTTACCTCATAAGGGTAATTTTAGCTTGCATAATCACTTTCTTTTCACTTTCATACCATTTAAACTAACAAATTAATATTTTTTTATAATTTTTTTGGATAAATTTTTATGCTAACCAAATGCATGTTAGAAAATCTATTTTTTTTTCATTCCCTTTACTTTTCTTTTCTAACTTTTTTTCATCTAATCAAACGGAGTCAAAATGTTCATTGTGTCAATATTTTCAAAAACATACCACATTAGCTCTTGTTTGCCTTCTGTTGAATTTTTTATAACATCGTTTTCGTATAATTTCAATTTTGTGATTTTCCGTGAATCATTTTCGTCAATGAAATGATTGAAACCCTCTGTGTTTCTTTCCAACCAGTCTGGGGAAAAAAAAAAAAGAAAAA